TGTCATATCAGACACACTGTTTATAATGACTTAGTATTTAGATAGAAAACTACCAATAATAGGAATGATAAATGGAGAATATTTGTTATTATTTGTGTAGACAGCTGATCAAAACAAATTTCCTCCCAGAATCAATCAACACAGTCATGTTTCATAAAATCCACAAGATAATGAGTGGTAGTAGACAATACAGTACAGTATATATTCTATACTGATTTCTGTTAATTAACTAGCGATAACTTCCACAATTTATTAACCTGTCAGAAATGGTGTCACTTTTCAACTTTCAATGCCTTCTTAATCTACTGTAGGTCTACAATTAATTCTTTTTGTCTACCTGAGCCATTCGATGTTATTTTATATGAATACATGGATATTTAATACGAAGAACTTATGAATCTCTCTTCATTACAATGGCCTGTCACTAAACTAGTTGAGAACTTCTAAGTAACGAGTGCGCACAATATTCATAATTTAAAAAAGTTTGTAACTGTTGAGTATGCTATTAAGAATGAGTTCTCAAATTATATAAAATTGATAAATTTCTCCTTTGATATTACTTCTTATGATCTACTGTATACTCCCATCACAGCATGGTACTGACACTGTACAATATATAAACATCATATTTTTTTGTAAACAACTGTTTCTACTGTACCAGTGATATAATATAATAGATAACAACATCATAAAGGGCATCATTAAAGGGATAAGCTTATGAAGGTCAAAGATTGCCATTGCTCAATATTGAAACATAATCTGCAATATGTTAAGGTTTTATTTAATTTACTGTAGCATGCTACATTAGTGCGGTATTTAGCTTTCTCTACAAGAGTAGTGGGTTCAAGTCCGTGGCTCATAATGGTACTTCTGTTGTTTTTTTCACTAAGAGGTATGGATACTGTACGAATGACACAACATTGGTCTGTGGATTTGTTTTTGTCACCTTGTTTCTAGTGTGTGTCTCCATGAATAAAGCAGAAACGGCACCAGTCAAAGCAGGCATTTCCCCACTCATCCAATAGGCCTGGACCCTGGTTTAGCCAACAACAGGTTGTCAGACCAAAACAATAATTAGCAAATTATCGAAAAAAACTTTGTTTTGATTGCCAATTCCTAATATAGTATTGCGGTCTGTACTAAAACATAAAAACTCTCCACATGAAACCTACCAGGCATTTTATTACAAGGCTCCAGTACTGTAGGCCCCTTGGCTCATACCACCTGTCGGACCTATTGTTGGCAAATTTCTGGAGCCACCACTGCAATAAATAATAAGGTTTTTTTTTGTTTTGCCCAGAATCTGATCTTGCGCAACTAATGCTATACTCCCTATGGAGTGGAGTAGGTTGCTCCATCGCATCATATAGTCAAATCTCTAAGAGAACAGTTAAATTTCATCTAAGCAATATTGGTAACATTCAGAAAATATCTTTCTAAACACACTACTGTAACTGCCAGTCAACACATCTGTGTCTTTTCATCTTATTTATTTTAAATTTACCATATTTATGGGCTATAGCACCCTTTTCATAATAAAAAACAAAATAATGCTCACTTTCCTCTGAAACAGACCATGTTTGCTTCTAAGTGATTAACACTTCTGTCATTTTTATGATAATAATGATAAGGGAAACATTATTGAGATGATGATGATGATAAAGATGGTTTATTATTATAATGATGATGTTGATAGCAACAGTGATAGCAATTATGATTTTATTTAATAATTTGATGAATGTGAGAAAACAATGTAATTGATCATTGTCTTAAATAATACAGTAATTAATCCCATACCAATGTGTATACAAAATTGTAAAACTATAAGGATGGCGAATTATGAAATATTTTATGAAATAATGTCAAACTAGTGACAAACTAAAGTTAGGGATTCTAATGCAAAATTAGCATGACATCTGCAGTCTTCTTGCCAATTTGTAGTATACATAGGTAGGTTATTGTTATTCTTATAAAATGAGAAGAACAAACGAGTGACAGAAAGCTGTGACTAGTTACGAATCTGCCCGAAATATCAATCAATTGATTGGAGTCATTGGAGCGTCCCTTCTTCATTGTGCTCATGATTTGCCAGATTAGTTCTTCGGTTTTCATAACAGTTTGCTGATAATGGGGATTTGCTATGGAATTCAGCAAATGGGTGAATTCCACACATTGAACTTTTAAATTATGACAGAGCAATGCATGCATACTATCAACTTACAGATTTAAAATCTAAAGGTTTCAATCCAAAGTTTCCACCAGAATTTGCTTATCCTTAAGGATAATTTGTGGAATGTGCCCTCAAGTTATCACATAAATGTCTGTGTATATATCTGTATTTTATTGGCTTCATATTCAAAAACTATTGTAGATTTCTTAGTCTATGAAAATGACCTTTCTATAGGGAGTAACAATTGAGGAACAGGTTTTTAAATGAATTAAATATGAATAGTAAACAATAGCCTGAGTAGGATACTGTAGGTGTTATTAACGAATGCTTTACTGACTATGAAATATTGTATATTGTATTGTATGTTGTAGGTCTTCATGACATAAGATGGTTCTGAAATGGGCTTGTTTCATATGACCCACTTTGATGTTTGATAATTTAAATAAAAATAAATAAATTTAGTCTATTAAAGGACTGTCAATTGTCTTAAATTTAATTCTAAAGATCGCCAAATATATATACGTAAAAGCAATAATATAAAACTACATAATTAATACAAATATACAAAAACATTCAGGAGAGTTAAAAGATTAAAAAGATATATAGAGATAGAAATCTTTCTTTATCCTGGGTACTTAGTATTGTTACACTGTTCTTCCCTGGGGTCTAGGGTATGATCTTAAATTACATTAAATTACAAAACAAAATTAAAAGAAAAATGCACAACAAAATATATATTAAATAAATTACAAAAATACAAGAAACAGAAAAGAAAAACAAACGGTTAAATTAAATGAGATTTTTAAAGGATTGTAAGGAAAGGGAATGAATATTGCTATGAGCGTCTGATGATAAATTATTCCATAATTTAACTGAGCGATATTTAAATGTTCTTTTTCCAAGAAAAAATGTTAAAATGGTATGCAAGGTATGCAGGACAAAGCGCATGTTCCTGGTACAATAACAAAGGCTGCATGTTTTTAGCTAAATTTTGCGCCTAGACAACTCACTCTAAAAAAGCCATATCTCGCAAAGTTTACAAAGTTTCAGATTTTTCATACAGTTAAGGCAAGACCTTTTTTATACCTTTGTTTTATAATAGTGAACTTGCTGAATGCGAATATTGATGAGTGCGAATAAAAATAGCATTTTATTTTTGGCCAAATAGGCCGCCATGAAAAAATAGAAATTTCAGAAAAAATAAAAATTTCTCTTTATTTTTATTACGCCCTCCACTGCCTTGAAATCTCCAAAGATAAGATATGTATATTTTTTTCCTAATTATGTAAATTTGAAGCATTTAACCATCCTATTTTACATTCAACAATAAAATTTATTTTCAGTTTCTCCTCTGTCTGGATGATTTTGGCAAAACTCTTTGTTAAATAAGAAAACAAAATTTTATTTTTATTTTTATTCTGTCCTCCTCCGATAATCTTTAGAAAGAGAAGTACGCAAAACAAGGAATAAAAAAAAAGTCTTGCCTAATGCATTGTATCTTGTCTTCTTTCAAGAATGATACTATAGTCTACAGTATGGGATCAGTTATTGCTAAGTGAATAAATGCTGCCCTCTAGTCTTATTGTCAACTTTTTTTTATTTGTGTTGTGTAGAGAAAATGTTTAATATAGCTCCCTCTTTGTAGTTTGTATTCGTATCTAACTTAACTTTTAGTATAAGAAAATAATCTGTGCCCTGTAATCTTAATTTTAAACTCCAAAAGTAAAAGCTAAAAAATAACCCAGAAAGTATAAGATCTAATTGTCTGTTTTCTTGCTTTGTTTTATTTATTTACATTTCTTTTTCATAACTTACAGTTTACGTATGTGGAGTGGATTTTCTTCATTTCCATAATTTATTTTGCCATTGTTAGGTATAGATTATTTTTATATTACTAAATTGTTGACTTTTGCATACTGTATAATAATTATGTTTTGTATCTATATTATTTCATTTCTGCGTTTAACCTTTGCTTTCTTAAGATGAACCGTAATGTGTAATTTATGTTAATTATAAATAAGGTATCTCACGGACATAATGGACAACAGCATTGTATTTGTTGATTTGTGCTTCGTGAATAAATAAAGTATTACTGCTACTCTGTAGACCCACTATATTTTATTACTAGTAATAATTCAATGAATATTAGTATTATGATATTATTATTATTATTATTATTATTATTATTATTGTTATTATTATTATTATTATTTATTCAGGCAAATACAACAATACAGTACAAAACTACAAAAACAAAGTAAAAAGTAGTTGACAGGAAGGAATAAAAGTAACAAAAAGCTACTGTCATCAATACATGTATTCCTCCACCACCAATCTACTATAACACTAACAGGAATTAATATCAAAACAATATAATAAGAGTAATAATACAATATAACTATCATTGTACTTTATTAATACATACTGTAGCGTACTAATATTATCTTAGAGGGAAGATACTGTTGATTGTAGAAGGTGCAATGGGTACTACAACCCTTAATCAGGTTGCCTTTTATTTAAATTTACAGTATTCACTTCAGGGATCATAGAAGTGTGACCACATTTTCTGAATTTTCTATTAACAAACCTTTTCTTACAGTAAGTGCCATTGGACTATCCATTTATATTTCCCCTTTCCTAAAAATTTACAGTACCACTGCCAGGTTCAGATGATTACAATTGTTTTATTTACGCATCCTATAGGATTCATGGTTATATAAAAATGGTTGAAATGATCACTTCCTGTTAAAAACTTGCATCCTTGGTTTCAACAGGACCTCACATCCGTTCTCGGATGAAATTGTTTCCTATTGCACTTCCTTCCGGGACACCATCAGCTTAGTACTATTTCAACTAAATTCCCAGTGGCCAGTCATATGGCATCTTGTCTCAGAGTATTTGTATTGTTTTTGTTACCGAATCGCTATTGATGACTGAAAGTGTTGTGATTTGTCTACTAATAGCATCTTTCTGACCATGTGATTGGATTGGGAATCACGCAGTTATAAAGACTTCCTCTTGTAGCACATTTTGTAAAATTGAATTATTTATAGACCAAGAACAACTTGTTTGTAAATATCTCATTGTGTACTGCTTTCAGAGCTTTATCGTGTGGGCTCATCTTGAGCTCTGAACTGGAGATTTTCAGTATCATCTGATGTGATTAGAATTGACATGGTGCATGCTGTAGTTTCTTTGATTTGACTGTTATTAGACAACTCAGTTTCTTTTTTCTTCTTAAACTTGCTAATTGGAAGATCTTATTTCACTTGCATTGTAAAAAGCCAGGGAGTGATGCATTGAAGGTTATCTTCCTATTAGGATTGTTACTGGTACTGCATAGTCATCTAGAATGAATTGATTTGCAATGCAAGGGGGCTGTTTGTTTACAACAAGTATATAGTAAATATTATAGGTGCTTTCAGTTTGTGTGTAAAATTGTTATCCTTGGCCTTGTTTTGCAATTGACACTCTGCTAGGCTCAGGTACATCCAGTTGCTACTGTGTTTGAGCTAGATTCTTCTATTGTTTTGAGCTGAATACTATTTCCATTAACTAGCAAGGCATTGGTGAGATGAACTTGGAAATGCATTAAGGTCATTTGTGTAGCGTCTTCTTATATTGGCGCCAACTAAGCCAGTGGATCTGTTATTGTCATCATAGCACATTGCAACGAATATTACATGATAATAATGGAGAGTTTCTTTCACCTTTCATTGATGGCTTATATGTATGTTTTTCTGATGTAACTTATCCAGTTAGAGGATTTTGATTGAAAATGTTTGTAAAAAGACGAATACGGACTTATTCATTCCATTCGAGGGAGAAAAGTAAAGTGAGAGCGGATGTTAGGAGACATTCTACAAGAAGCTCCAAGGTTGGTATCCGCCTGATAATTAATTCCATGAGTGTGAGTTACCTTTAGGCTCTATTGTGCAGTTTTCAACAATATGAACTACTGTATTGTATAAATCCCTGTTTCTCAGTTACAGCTTCAGGACTATGGTCGAAAAACTGACCACAAGTTTAAAATTTTGACTGTGGTCTGAAATTAAACGATAGTTAATAGAAATATTATGGACCATTGTTTTAATTTACTAAAATTTCCTTAACTGATAGGTGGGGTCTGTGTGGGTCTCTCTGAGCCCATTACTCTTGTGAAACCCAAGAGAAGGAGAATTGTCTTTGGTATTGTCAGTTATATTTCATTTGTATTTAAACTAACATTAAATGTATTACACTAATATATAAAACTCACAATTTAAAATTAAAGGAAAGTATCTCATAGAATTGGTTGATTGTTTGGCTACAGTATTTTTGATGACTAAGACAGTATAGAAATTAAAAATACAATGAAAAGTAATTTTCAAGTACAAAATTAAGATTTCTAGGCATATACAGTAGGGTTACTGCCATATTCTTTAGCCTAAGAGTGGCACCATACTCCTGGCCCAGCTGTCAGGGAAAATCTGTTGGGGGAAAATAAAATAATTTTCTTAGCTAGAGACAACTGGGGTAAGAATGTAATTTTAGGGCATCTAAACTAGAGGCGACAGAAACTACATTTTGTCAACCTTGGCCCCAATCATGTTGGGATTGATGTGTGCATGTTGGGGAACAGTGGACCACCTGACGGAAATGCAGATGTCAACGCATCCTAAAGCATCAACTATGGTGAGACTGGGGCATCTCAGGACATCAGCATTCCCTATCTAGTTGCCTATAGAGACTGCTACCAAAATTTAAGCAACCTTGTAGAAAGTCTGTAAAAGAGAGAATTCAATTCATTTTGAGGTATTTATTGCACATTCAAAACTTCAGTTCAGGATTGTGAATTATTGTATTTCACATATTTTCTTATACTGTATGAATTACCTTTATTTTTAGTTAGTTACTTTATACAGTACAGTATGCCATATAGTCTGTGGAAATCAAATGATGATGATAATAATAATAATAATAATAATAAATAATGATATAATTACTACTAATGTAATATAAAAACCAAATAATATAATATAAGTAATAAAAACAAATACTCTACTGTAATAATATAAAGCAGAAATTGCAAATGCTATACTGTAATGCTTTAATATAGTTTACTGTATGCAATTGATTGTACAGTGTAGATTTGCATTGTACCTACTGTATCTGCCAAAATGCATTAAAAAAGATGTTTAAATTCTGAAGATCCCTACCAACATCAACCACACTGAAATTTTGTTAAAGGTGTTATGTTATTTTTGCCATTTTACTGGTTCTCTGATGTTGTCAAAAAATAAATCCCATATCATGCTAAACCTTGTTTAGCTTTAGTGATAGCTTTAGTGATAGCTTCAGTTCCAAAGAACAGTGTCATACATTTTCAAGGAATTGGTTTTGAATACAGCTGTAGGGTTTTATGAAGTTGAAATGAAGGACAAGTAATGTGAACTTTAATACACAGTCAAAAAACATGTGAAATTTGTGATTACATTCACAGCATATAAATTGTATCACTGAAAGTGTGGATCAATTTTTTTACAGTACGGTAAGCTCCATAGTGAAACCGATAGAATATGCTATAGAAAGTGAAATAAATTGTGTCTTAATGTACTTGCAAGAGTTTCCGGTATATTTTTTTCTTTTTCAATATCTTTGTAGGAATCCATTAAGTGAATCTGATTAGATTTTGTCAGTATTGATCTTAACTTGTAAAAAATTCTAGGTTAGAATTTATCAGTTTCAAAAATTAATTTTAGGTGAAAAAATTAAAGTGGAGCATGGCAAACTACTTTTAATTAAGCTTATGTGTTAAGCCATTTTATATTTTAAATTGTCTTAGGTTGTGTTTCTGCAACACTTATTGTCTGATAAATTATTGGAAAGCCGCCATTTTGTTATTTTTCGCTGTGTAAAGGGGCCCAACTTTTCCAATAAATTTTCGCACAAGAATCAGATAATTTATCGGAAAAAGATCCAAATGTGAAAGTAAATGAATTAGTTTTTTATGGCCTAGGCCTATCCATCTCGCACAAAAAAAGGGGTCACCTGCTGGACATAAAAATGGATGTTTTGATGTTGAACACATTGGATTGTTGTCCATAATATTGCATGATGGGATAAAATATTTTGAGGGAATTTTAAGATAATTATTGGAGAAATTATATAAGTACACTGCAGAAACAAGGCCTTAGACAATTATAGTTTGCATTCATAACATAATTTTTTTTGTTTACAGTGTATTCTGTAATTCTGCAACAACTCGTCTCTATACTGTAATAATTTACTACTGCCTACTGTAATTTTAGACACAATGTTGTTGGTCTGCTACTATTAGCTCACTTTAATTACTGTAGGCTACCTTTGGCGCTTAAGTTACCTATATGATGTCATTGGTTGTTTGCTACCTGTACATACTCATGTGACATGTTCATATATCAATTCCTAATTAATTCCTCATTATCTTCTAATTACAAAACCTTTGGAAATATAACCTTAGCATATTTTGAATGCTTTTGTTTGCAAGATCCTGAGGATTAATTACAAAATTACAATGATGCTATGTATACAGAGGGTAACTTGGAGATGTTAATTATTGAAATTAATAATGTACTGTAAGCATTAGTATGAAAATACATGAACATAGGTCCTGAGATTATAGGTAATTAATTGTGATTCATTAGTGCATAGTTAATTAAAATGATCAACACCCAGTAGTATTGTACTGTACATTGTATCTCTAGTAATGCTAATATTTGATTGTGCTGATATTATCTTTAGTTTTTATTTCTATCATTGATTTAATCATGATTTAATGAGTAAAAATACATTTTTCCTATTACAAATTCCTTTTCACCTTCTCCTATCCACAATTGGACACGCATCTTCTGATGTCATGGTGAGGTGTCTTACTGAAAATTTTTAATTTGCTGATCCATACAAAGTTATTATGATTTTCAGTCCCTAATACTGTGGTTTTAATAAACACAACTTAATCCCAGACCTTTAAATCTTTTCCTATGAGCCTGACTAGAAATATTATTCTGTGATCGTTTCACGCATTGCCTCCGGTCAGGGGGTCAGTCACTATCTTTAGCCTTGCCATGCTTAAGCTTGCATACATTTCACATTTGGTGAAGAGTGTGCTCATATAATATTCCTTTCTAGGGTCCAGGGTAAAACCTAGAGCACTTGGGTGCACTTTCTCATGTTTAAGTTACCATACTTTCAGTTCTTTTCATTCATTCATAATGGTATATTTATTAATAAAACCATCTTCCAGAAAACTGAATTGTGATAATCTTTTTATAAAATGAATTAAGCACAACAATAAAATTTTAAATGTGGTTAAAAGATAAGATACAAAAACAGCAGTGGAAAGCTGTTGGATGACAACAAAGAAACAAAACATAATACTGTATACTTAATGTAATGCACTTGTATATTTTGCAGGATAGTGCAACTCGCTTCTGGGGTGAAGAACGAGTAGATGGCGCTATATACAATGTTTATTTAAAGAAGATACGCTACAACCGGACCAGTCCCATCCCTTTGCAGGTACTGTAAAGTCTATATTAAGGGGATTTTTTATTTTTTTAGGGTAATTACCTGTACTGTGTACTAAAGTTGGAATTCAGCACTGAAAACATTGTGTTGGGGATCATGCCTATGGGTAAATTTTAGCCCATTATTTCACTCTGATGCAACATTGCATGTGATAGGATCCATTTTGTTTTAGAAGCTTTAAATTATGTTTTATATTTTTATAATAATGACCCCTTACCGTATTTAAAAGTGAGTAATGGAAAATACACTGGAAAATAATCAGTTGCAACAGTATTAAAAGTAAAACAAATAATTTAACAGATGGCAATGTGAAGAGTTGAATTTAATGTAATGATATCAGATGGCAAATAATAACCTGTGTGATTTAATGGAGCAATGTGAACAAAGGAGATGTTTTGCTTTGATGAATGTAATGTATTAGTCATCATACATTACCTTACTGGATATACAGGCACTTATAACTCACAAGCAGGGTAAAGAGAATGCCAAGCATTATCACCAAAAAGAAATAATTCTGCCAAAGAAAGTTTTTATTCAGACTTCAAATATCAATAAAAATACTTATTGTATCAAAAGAAAAAAAAAAAACTAATCCCAATTACAAACATAATATTGATGATATAACTGATAATATAGGCACAGATTCTTTTATAATATTGGAAAAACACATTGCAGTAGCTGACAGTTGTTGAAAAATCCATCTCTGGTTACTTTGAGCATTTGACGACTCAACGCTGTCTGCTGGTTGCTGATGGCAGTCTGAACGAATTGTCATTTAACAGTCTGTTGCACATGAATATAGTGTTTTCCTTGAAACCATGTCGGCCAACAACCGACGGTGCTGTGTTTTGCAGGTCTATATGTAAATTGTATTTGTTTTTTTTTTTCTTTTTAGGACACAGTAGATGGAGCTGGTCCCTCCCACTTAGAATGGGAAATCTACCGTGTACGAAGCACAAAAGCTGCCACCTTAGAAAAACTCATCGAGAATTTAACTCTGGCTGTAAGCGAAATGGACTCAAATTTTATCTGTGTGTTTTTTGCGACTTACCAGACATTTACTACTGCTAACCAAGTTTTGAGTTTACTCATAGAAAAGTAAGAGTATATGAGAATTATTGTTTTTTTAATTTTGAACATATGATCAAGTAACCTCGGGGGCCTCTTCAAGTCAGCTGTACTACTGTAGTGCAGCTGTTAGAGCTACCCTCGTGAAGTAAAGTTGAAATAAATAAAATAAATAAATAACCTTTTACCTGTTGGTAATTCTAATTGTTAATCTAAGTTCAATTCCCTCCTGTGTTGTTACACTTTTTGGAGGTAAGTAAATCATTGCCAACCATAGGGCTCATATGGGCTAGTGCTCATCCTCAGCTTGAAGTAGTGTGAAGCAGCTGAGAGTGCGATGCTTTCCCTTGGTGGGATGTGGGTCACTGTAGGCAACACCTGCAATTTTCTGGTACCATTGATACAGCTGGGTAGACTGAATCAATGTAAAGTGTCTTGCTTCAAGACACAAGCAAAATGCACAGCGAAAGATTCAAATTTCCAACATGAAGATGGATAAATGTAGGGTAATCAACCAATATTTTCGCATATAAGGTGAGGTTATTTTATACGCGCAAAACGTACACGTTTGTGATTTTTAAATCTTGTTCGTCTTATGTGCCAATTATCCATAACACGTAAATTTATTATTGAAATGAACTGTGAGTATGAATGAGGGCAACTTGAAATGTAGAGAAACAAGATGATGAACAATTAAAAGCCCATGAAATAGTGTTATTTGGAAGATTACAGTAGAACTACAATACATTTGGATCCGTTTGTAGGCAGCTAGATGCGGTATCAAGGTCATAGAGAGCAGCAAAAAGTATGAATTCCGACAGTAAAACGGGGGGGTGGGGGAGTCGTCTTATATACCCGACACACAAAAATCTTCAGAAACTCGGGGGTCTTATACGCAGATCGCCTTACATAAATACTCGAGAATATAACAATTGCTTGCCTGAAGTATAAAACCATTCCCTAGTAGTCATATCTGGGTCTTGTTTAAGCGTCCTATTGACCTAATAAACATTGTGTGTGTTTACTGTAAACAATGAAGTTTCAAGGCCATGGTTATAATGCATTGTATTATTGTAACTATTTAAACATTCTTTTCTTCAGATAGAATGTTGTGTTTTCTGTGTGTTTATTTTAATATAGTAAAAAAAATAAATTATGAGCATGCTTTAAGGGATATTTGCTTATTTTGTTTAGTTATCGTAATATTGAAGAAGAAGAGAAAGACAACTCAAGGGTAGTAGATGCTGTTCAGAAGTGAGTTACTTAATTTTAGTTTTACATTTCATTTGACTATTTGACCCACATTGAATAGACATACAGTATAGCATGAAGGATATAAGGAAAGATTGAAATGATATTAATATACAGTGAACCATCCAATTAGAGACTCAACTCTAATTCCAAGACCCCTCAAATTCAAGACCACTTTTTCAAAGAATCAAATAACAATCTCCCATCTTTTAACACAAAGCTAACCGTCTAATTGAATGCCAAACGCCGAGACCACCCCACATTTTTAGGTGGTCTTGAATTACAGTGCAAACTGTAATAATACAAGGCTGTTTAAAAAAATGTTTTGTCTTATTTAGAAACAAGCTTTGATTACTCAATAATGATTTAGAATGTAATGTCTAAATGGATTTCTTTGTGTTGATGTTGTGTTGTATCATTCATTGACTATTTTGTAGGAACAAAATGTTACCTTTCTATCTGTGACATGTGATTTTTGAGCAGCCTACATCATGCACTTAGACTATGCTGAGTGTCCTTGATTCAAAAGACTTTGGAGTTAATGTTTCCTTTAATTGTTTGTTCCTAATATATTTTACTTAAGTAGTATAAAAAATCCCCCCAAATTGCAAACGTATATGTAACATAAGGAAAGTAGTTTTTTTTTTCACTTGCTTACTAGTTAGTGTCCAAGAACTAATTATTAAGCCTAAAGTAAGTTTAATTTTTCTGTAATAATATCAAAATAAAAAGTGAGTTCTGAATTCAACATATTCAACATTCATTTCATGGAAGTGAGCTGTTTTTGTGATATGAAAAAAATGCCTACAGATGAAAAGATAGGTTGATTTCATGTAAGCAAGTATTATTTTATACAACTATCAATTTGTGTTTGGGCTTGCATACAGTTTAACCATCTTTTTACATTAGGGGTGGCTATACAGATGGGTTGGATGACCAAATTGTAGGCCACAGCTAAACTTTAACATTTCCTTTATGCACTGCTTTTGTAGCCGCTTTTGTGCCGAGTTCTATACTTCCACCTTTTGTGCTGAGTTCTATACTTCTAGAATTTTGATGTTAATCGGTGTTGGGGCTGTAAAAGGAGGGGTTTTCTAGCCACAGAGGTTAGGTGGGTAACAAAATTGCCATCAGGCTGCACTTTGTCCACCTGTGTCCTAGAGGCTATTATTTTTGGTGATAACTTTGGTGTGATCACATGATCACACCAGCAACACTGATCATCACTTGGTTGATAAATGTATTGCGAGAATACAAAGCTTCTGAAACAAAATCCAAAACTCTAAAACAGAATCTATTTTCACTTTTAATTTCTTACACTAGTACAGTAAAAAATATTTTTAAATTGTGCAGTTTATTTTAACTAGAATATTATATTTCTGAATCATCGTAAGCAATAAAACTTTACTCAGAGTATATAAATTAATGCGTGTCATTATATATCCTATAATACTAAATCCACCAATAGTGATCAAGCTGCACTACCATGTTTATTATTCTATTGCGATACCTGCCCTTGAGTATCTTGAAGTTAGTGCTCAGCTAGACTCTA